AGAGAGAGAGAGAGAGAGAGAGAGAGAGAGAGAGAGAGAGAGAGAGAGAGAGAGAGTTGGTGGTTTTGGCTGAATCATGGCATACACATGGATGGAGCTGCTGATAAATAGGTCATGAATTCAAAAAAGCTTCAAATCCTGATTTATTATCCAATAATGTAAGGGGCTCACCCCCTTTAAAGAAATTGGAAAAACGAAGAGAAACTTCATTCCAGTGCTGCATTCTCCGTCCTTATGTTGGCGTAAGCTTTTGTGTACGGTAGTGCAAAAGCAGGGGTGCAGTGTAGGTGGAAACCTCGGTTTTGAACGTAGTGGTTGGGATGTTAAACATGGCAGTAAGTGCCAGTAACAAGTGTCTTAACCCCCCACTACGTCCGCACCTCTTTTTAACTGGGCACTGGGACTGGGTATAAAGGGATTTCCCATCATCTTCTTCTTCTTCTTCTTCTTCTTCTTCCTTCTTTTTTTTTTTCTTTTTTTTTTAGCAATAACATCCTGTGGAAACCTGCGGTTAGGGTATTCCCATCTTTGATCAGGATACAGATGCAATTTTCCCAAAAAAAAAAGAAGCTACTCCATGACGCAGCTGAGTCATTAGTGGATCAGTTTGGATCCATAACTCCAGCTGTGTTCTGCTCAAACTCTGGCTGTAGTTGAGCAGCCACACGTGCTTGCGATCATGTCCGTCACAAGAACCATGGTCTTTATCTTTTTCACTCCTCTTAAACCACCAGTACGTATGAGCGTGCGCGTGGACCTGTCGTTGCAGTGGTGATATCCATGACGGCATCATGAGAGCGAAAAAAAGTGGAAAATTGGAAATGGCATTGAGTGCTGAATCTGCTGATTCCTAAAACAGCATTAATAAAACTACTACACATTTTTTTGCCTCCCACCTATACAGTCTGCAGAGTCCTCCTCCTGGTGTGGGTGAGGGGTAGCGTGCTTGATTTTTGCCACAGGTACCCTTTATGGGAGTGGTTGGTGGCATTTGGTGCCCACCTCAGGCCTCAGGGTATCACATGTGGGCAGTGGTTGATGCCCAGCCACAGTTGGGGTTAGGGTTGATTACGACTTGCACAGTCCTACCGTATCCTTGGTTAGGGGACTCTGTAGACTGTAGAGGGTTCAGTTTCCTGACAAGTGGGTGAAACTTCGATGAAACAATCTGTCACCCCCCGATGTTTCTTGTCCTTTCCCCCCTTTCCGCTTCTGGTTCACCTGGCAGTCCTCTGTGAGTTGAGAAAAAAAGAGAAAAAATATCCTCGGCGCAAGCCCTCTATCCTGGTGGTGGTGAGAGAAGTCAGAGAACCATTGGGATTAACGACGTGCTTAGGTGATGGTTCCATTCTTATTGGAGGGAAGCTGCACCAGCTGGAAACCTGGTCCCAGTGTCCCTCACACCATTTCCTAACTGGGCCCCTACGTAGCACCGTGTTCGCGTTCGAAGGCGAATTTCGAAGGCGAATGCGAACATGTTCGCCCGAACGCGAAAAAGCGCCCAAAAACCTCCGAACGTGAACATAAAAAAAATTAAAAAAAAACAAAAACAGTTCTCAAAAACATCTGGAAAAAATATATGTTATGTAGAATAACAATACAAGCAACTTTTGCCTTGGAGTCATGTTCAAATTCGTAGCCAATCATGAGTAAAAAAACAAAAACCGAATTATTTTTATTTTTGTTTTTTTTAACGAAAAAAATATTATGTTCGCCCGAACATGTTCGCGAGCTGTTCGCAACACGTTCGCGCGAACGTGAAGGGGCGCGAACACGTTCGCCGTGCTAGGCAGTGGGCCCATTGTCCCATAGATATTTAAAGGAGCTGCTGTGACCATGGATCCCTCCTGTACTCTCCAGTTCATAACTTCTTTCGATCTCTCTGACACTCTTTCCCTCCTTACGTACCCACTCCCACCCTCCATAATTCCTTTTAATCTCTCTAACACTATTTCCCCCCTTATGTACCCAGTCCCACCCTCCATAATTTCTTTTTGTCTCTCTAACACTCTTTCCCCACTTATGTACCCAGTCTCACCCTCCATAATTTCTTTCATTCTCTCTAACACTCTTTCCCCCCTTATGTATCCAGTCGCACCTTTCATAATTTCTTTTAATCTCTCTAACACTCTTTCCCCACTTACGTACACAGTCCCACCCTCCGTCCTCCAGATAATCCACCATTGCAATAGCCAGATACCCTTTTGGTTGAGCTGTCCTTGGGCTTGAATTTTGAAAGCGTTGAGGCGCACCATGACATGATGACAGTCCTTAGCTCCCTGCAAGGAGGAAGTGGGAGAGGAACGGCTTGGCCCTAATGGAGATGCCCGATCCCACCCTATATAAGGATGAAAGTAAAGAAAGAAACAAAGAGCTTCACAGAGAAAGGCAAAAGGACGGTTTCAGTGAGCCTCATGCTGTCTGGTGTAATCTGTAGTCGATTCGCAACGTGTGCTCTGTTTCTTTTAAGAAAGAAATCCGGCAGTGTCACACTTTCAGCTTCGAAAGGGCAAAAAAAACATGTGCGGGCAACAAAAAATCGGGTGCGGAGTTTTAAAAAAGGGCGGTATCGGTAAAAATGGCTGTGGCCCGCGTGCGATTTTGTTGCCCTTTTCAAACTTGGTACGCGAGTGTGTTGCCCTTTCCAAACTCGGTGCGCGGTTAAAAATGCTTCCATTCAATTTGTTGCCCTTTCCAAACTTGTTTGTGCCACAACCGAACTTACCTTTTGTTTTAATTATTATTCCTTAAAATTGGACCAGGTCAATCCCCGAGGAAAGACCAAAGGGTGGGAATGGGTCAAGCCAAAGCAACCCCCCTTTCTATAGGCGGCTCGAGCCACAAGGGATAGGCTGCCTTTCTTCTCTGTCTTATTCCCCGCCGGTTGCTTGTTCAAAAAACACATGCTTCCCGGTGATAAGCAACCGTACTGACGCCCCCCCCCCAGAATAGAAGGGGCTGCTTTGTTTTGTAAAAAACTACATAAGAAACTGGACCAGTTCTCGATTTATGCACGTCATCCTCGCGCAGGGGCCATGCCAATCTTCATTCTCTGAATCGCTCCAGTCATCCCTGCTCTGTTCTGCTTCTTTTCTTTTTGATAATTTTTCTTCTTTTTTTTCTTTTTCAAGTTTTTTTTTTTTAATTTGGACCATTTCTCGATTTATGCGTGAGATATGTGACAATCTATAACGTCGTCCGTTGGATTGGAGGGCAGAGAAGATCAGATATTACGCTGACAAGAACAGATACTAAACACTCCTTCTTCTTACCCGAAAGCCTGAGAAAGGTATGTGTGCTCCTTTCTGCTTAAAAGGTAATCCTTTTTCTTCTTTTTTAATGCTTAAAAGTTAAAAGGTAATACTAACCGCCGAGCCTTTCGCCCTTTCTTGTCCTCCAGAATGTATTCATCAGCATAGAACAGGGGATCTTCAATCCGGCACCCTCTGATGATCAAGGACAAGAGATAAATCACACAGGTTGGCAAGTTGCACCGGACACGGAAAAAAAAGGGGGTCAGGGTCCTTCGGGACATCCGTTAAAATTGGAACGATACAGAGAAGATTAGCATGGCCCCTGCGCAAGGAAAAAAAAAAAAAAAAAAAAAGGGGGTCAGGAAAGTTTGGACAGAGTGCCAAGTGGAAAGCGGTGTAGAGTTCAGGAATTGGCAGAAATCACACAAGTTGACCTACCCCTTTCCTTCCGCCCTCCCCTTGCGTAGTACTACTAAATAAATCCGACGAATGAGCATCATTAAGAGTAGACTCAGAACAGAGAAAATACAAGCTGGAGATCTAAGGAAAAATGAACAGGACTCACAGGCGTATACCTGCCGCCATGTACTCTGCCTCATTTCGTAGTGTGCAAGTGGGGCGTTATGGCACACGGGGATGTGGGCAGCTGGCGCTCAACCACAACCAATGTGGCAAGCCTTGTACGTTAGAGGCACAGTAAATGGGGAACTGCAAGAAGAAAAAAAAAAAGGGTTACCCCGAAGAAAGCCAAAGTAAAGAAAGTGAAGACAGGACTGTACGAGGAAAAAGCAATATAATGGTTTTACGGAACTTTATGTTGTTTGCTAATAGAGGTAAAACTGTTTCAATTTTGGCTCTGCTCATCCTACCGGTAGTGTGCTTCACGTTGTTTGCTATAGAGATGAAGCTGTTTCAATTTTGGATCTGCTTATCTGGGCGGAAAAGGGGTTGTTGCAGTGACAGTCTACAACTTCAAAACAAATCAATGAACTCACTCTCGCTAAGGAGTACGAAGAGTCATTTGCAGGTAGTTAGGCTCCAAGCCTCTGAGCCTTGCAAGATCACGCCAGGGTTCGTGAAAGTCCCACTGGTTTAGGTAAGGCACCTGGAAGGGTACAATCCCCTTTACTCAGCCGTCAAGCCGGTCAAGGTCAGGGACAAAATGGAGCCCCTCCTTCAACCCAGCAGCAGACTGTGCAAAGGCTGCAAGGTTTAGGGTTTCCGGTTTAGGATTCAGAGGTTAGGGGTTAGGGGTTAGGGTTTAGGGTTTAGGGTATAAAATTTAAGGTTTAGGGCTGAGGGTTTAGGATTTAGGGTGTGTGTGCAGTGTTCCCAGCCGATCGTGTTGCGCTCCTGCCGAACTTCTAATGTATAGCAAGGCCGGGGGGCATATTGGGCCAGTGAGGCCAGCTTCCTGAAGTATCCGGAGAATCTGGAGGCTATTGGTACCCTACTCGATTTGGTCATCTTCCCCTCTTAGCAACCTGGCCAGACCCGGCCTTTATGAAACTGACCGGGCCAGATTAGTGCCGTCACTGATGAGATAAGGGCCTATTGGCCCTAAGGCGCCGATGGGCCCTTTTAGGCGTTGCAAAAGGCTCAACCAACAGAATGAAATTTATGCCCTTCTTGTTAGAGCGCTGATTGTCCGAATGGTATTGCGATGAATCCTCAGAACATTTTTAAGGATGATTTTGAGATGAGAAAATAATACTATATCCATTACACCACAAAAGTCAAACAATATTTCGGCCATACTCCCAAAAAAGCACCCCTTTCCGTTCAACTTACTATTGTTCCCAGACTACATGGCTGTAGAGCCGTGTAGACATACCTCTCTCTCTCTCTCTCTCTCTCTCTCTCTCTCTCTCTCTCTCCCCCCCCCTCTCTCTCTCTCTCTCTCACACACACACACACACACACACACAC